TGATATGTGCCCCTCGGTGAGGCAGCTTCTTGCGGAACAATGCAAAGCCCCTTGTACCAGTGTGCCACTCTCGATAGTCGTAGCGTCCTGTGTAGTATAAAATCTGTCGTACTTCTCTCCAAAAGAAAACAAGATCCGGTTCCCCCCTCAAGTTCAGAGCTCATAAGTCGAGTTCGCCCTGCGTCTAAGCCTCTAACTGCGTCACTTCGTCCCTCGCTGCGTAACCTCGAAACCTCGTCCACTGCGTTTACTCGTCGATACCGTCTCGACGAACCCTTCGACTTCGACTATTGTCGAAGAAACTGCGAACTGCGTCCTAGATAAGTCCCCCCTATCGAATTGTCTCTTTCTTCTACGATTCTTCGAAGAGCTCTCCCGAGCTTCGATCGTCTCCGCTAACCATCCACAGCCTCCGAGTAGCTTCGACGACGTGTCGAAGCCACCTCGTAGCTTCCCCATTGTTCGTAGCCTTTTCCGAAGGCGTTTCTCGTGTTCACTCGAACCGCGGGACACCTTGCTGCTAACTCCCCTCTCACTAAGACTATAATCCGTCTCTAGTCCCTTTAGGTCGCACCCAGGTTAGGGGTTAGGGTTTCGTAGGTCGTATCATTTCTGGAGCCCACCGCGAGGGGATCTCAGGCAAGAATTCGCCGCTTTCGGGTTTCCGAAAACGTCTCCAGTAGTCACCCGCTCGCAAGCGCGTGAGGCTGCTAGCCGCAGTGCCGCCGAGAACCTCGACAGCTCCTCTAGAACGCAATCGACTCCCTCTCCAACCATTCCCGGTAACTTCGACCGCGACGAAGAAGACGAGATAGACCAAGAACTCCAGGACGACTTCGACGAAGAACCGATCCCTTCGACCGCCGAAGAACGCACTTCGTCCCCCGAGCTTCTAGGCCTCACTACTTCCGACTACGACATTTCAACTCCTGATCTTTTCGAACGATCCGGTTCTTCGCCCGAACCCGAGGATCCCATCCCATCTACTTCGAATCTCGAACTCCCGACTCCGTCTTCTTTTCGTGCCCACGCTTAGCCGCCCATTGCATCCTCTTCGCGACTCTCAGTCATACCTACACCCGACCTGGCACCTCCGCCACCCTTGGCACCTTCGAACGCAGCTTCGAACTCCAACCCAGCACCGCCCGCACCTACGATTCCTTCGACTACTACCACGTCCTCTTCGAGCCCAGCTCCTACTACCACTACGAACATGAGTCAGAACACGAATACACCGTTGATGCCCCCGCGCGGTCATTCGACAGCACCAAGCTTCGACCCATCGGAAGTCCGTTCGCTTCGGCGTTACTTCCAGGACCTCGAAGCGTTGTTCACCCGGTGTCAGATTACTGACGAAGCGGCCAAGAAACAGTGGGCCGTTCAGTACCCTTCGATCGACGTCGCCGACTTATGGGAAACCATCGAGTCCTTCATCGACGTAGCCAAGAGCTACAACGACTGGAAAGCCGACGTACGAGCACTCTATCCTGGTGCCGACGGTACAAGAAAGTGGTCACTGGCGGACATGGACCAGCTCATCGGAGAACGCGCTCGTATCAGGATTCACAATGCGGCAGATCTGGGCTGCTATTACCGTGACTTCATGGCCATTACGAAACATCTCATCGCACAGAACCGACTCTCCCCTATCGAACAAAGTCGCGCATTTCTTCGAGGATTCCAGCCAGCGTTGCTCACACGGCTCGAGACCCGACTACACCTCAAGCACCCCGATCACTACGCCGACGACCCATACACCATGGCAGAGATTCACGCGGCGGCTACTTTCATTCTACACGGTACATCGAGCACACCTACGACCACGGCGAACCAAGCTATCGCTTCGACATCGAACACTTCGACAACGGTGCCCCCCGGGATGATCAAAACCGAAGACATCTCGATGATCATCAAAAGCCTGTCGAGGACGATCGCAACACTCATTCAGCCGACGACGCACGCTACGCACAACCACGCCCCCGCACCGAGACAACAAGCTACCGTCCACATCCACGAGAACACCGGAGCTGAACAGATGTGCCACTACTGCGGCAATCGTGGCTGCAGGGTAGGCACCTGTGAGTTTGCGGAGATCGACATTCGGGACGGCAAGTGCAAGCGGAACACCGAAGGCAAGATCGTCCTTCCAAACGGAAGTTTCTGCCCCCGCACTATCCCTGGTCTCACGATACGAGATCGAATTTACGAGTGGCATAGAAGAAATCCCGTAGCACCCGCCGCTCCGACGATGCTCTTCGAGATCGACGATCGCTCGACTGTGCAAACATTCACGCTCAACACCAGCGGCAGGATCGAGGCGCTCGAGCGAGAACTCCTTCAGCTTCGGAAGCGAAGGGAGGTCTTCGACGGCGTCGAGATTCTACAGCGGAAGAAGCCTACGACGCCAGTCGTCACAAGAAGCGCGGAAGCCTCGGGATCTGGTACATCGAAAGGAGTGGCGGCACCCTCGAGCACTTCGACAAGCACGGCCCCGCCTCCGACGATACCAGCAGCAGCACCCGCGCCGTCTTCTTCGCCGCCCACGCAATCCACTACTACGTCCGCTCCCCCAGCACCACCAGTACACCCTTTCGCAAACGCTCGCGACGCAACCTACGCCCCGCCGAACGTTCGAAACTTCGCAACTCCGCCGAAGCCCTCGAACGACAAGGGCAAGGAGCCAGCGTACAAGACCATCGTCCCCGTTATCCAGCCGAAGCTCGCCGAGGAAATCTTCCAGCGTTCAATGAAGTCGCAGTTCGTCACGCTGACCCCAGAAGAGTTGCTTTCGATCGCACCCGACGTTCGAACCAAGTACCGCGACGCCGTCACCCCTAAGCGAGTCTCGACGGAACCTGTCGCGTCGGCCCACATCGTAGAAATCGGCGCCGATGAGGTCACGGCCGTCAACCAGCTCTCGTGTTCAGGTGCAACGTTGGAACCCGGTGCTACAATCGTACCCGACCCCTATGAAACCTATCTGAAGCACATCCCTCACGGCGAGCACCCCGCAGAATTCACCGTCGCACGCGATTCGAATGCGATTCGATCGATCATCGCGTTGGTCGACAACAAAGAGCAGATCGAATGCATCGTCGACCCCGGTTCGCAGATCGTCGCCATGTCGGAAGAGGTCTGTCTCGGCCTCAACCTCCTCTTCGATCCTACTATCCAGCTGAACATGCAATCGGCGAACGGCGAGGTGGACCGATCGTTGGGACTCATTCGAAATGTTACCTTCCGCATCGGTGAGATTGTATTGTATCTTCAGGCTCACGTCATTCGAAACACAGCGTACGACATCCTCCTCGGCCGACCCTTCGACGTGCTCACGCAGAGCGTCGTCAAGAACTTTGCCGACGAGAACCAGACCATTACGATCCTCTGTCCGAACACCGGCGAAACCGTCACGATTCCGACGTACGCGCGAGGAAGATCGCGAAGCCGGCAGCATCCTTTCGGGTGTCGCAAATCGCATTTTCTCGCTTCGAGGAATTGATTCCCCATGATCAAGGAGAAGCCGCGCTAGTCATCGACTACGATGGGGTAAAACCAAGTATTTCCTTCGTCTCTCCTATTGATTCCTCGATTCCGAACGCTGTTTCGTCACTGTACCTCTCCGCATGCACCTCCGTTTCTTCATATTTGCAGTCTCTTTACGCCTCGGACAATACAGCTTCTAATGCCGCCCCGTCGAACACTTCGACGTGGGCTTCGACTCTTCTATTTTCAGCTCCGTTCGCTTCGACTCCGCCAGCTCCCGTTCCGACGAAGTCCATCTCGCAGCTTTCCAACTCGATTCTCCCCTTTCCTTCGACGACATCGACTTCTACCCCCTCAACGCACAAGATACTCGCCGCGACGAAGAAAAAGTACAAGCCTGTCGCTCTCAAAACCCGACCCGTCCTTGGTGCCGTCCCCGAACAATTTCGAATACTTCGAGACATCAAGGGCGACCCTCTATCCACAATGCCTAAGCTTTCGACCGACCCCCCGCCGTTCAAACCTACCGGTCGGTACACCCTCGAACACTTCGAAGCAACCGAGAAGCTTCACGACGGCGACTTCCTACTTCCCGAAGAACGTCGAGTCCTCCACCACTTCATGTGCCTGCACAACGAAGCCTTCGCATGGACCGATGACGAGCGCGGATGCTTCAAGCCCGAGTACTTCCCCCCCGTCGATTTCCCCGTCGTTCCTCACACGCCCTGGGTGCAGAAGAATATCCCCATTCTGCCCGGGATCTACAACGAAGTCTGCGCGGTGATCAAGCGAAAGATCGCCGCCGGAGTCTACGAGCCATCGAACTCGTCGTATCGATTGC